AGCAGTCTTCCAATATCTCGGGGGCTGCCACAAAGAAGAGGGAGTCAAGCTATTTCCCAAAGCACCTGAGGACAGAACAAGAAGCAATGGATGGAAACTAATCAAGGAGAAGCAATTTTGAACTGAGGAGAAATTTCCTGACAGTGAGAACAATTCATCAGTGGAAAAGAAGTTGCCTCCAGAAGTTATGAATGCCCCAAGACTGGGAGTCTTTAAGAAGATGTTGGATAGCCATTTGTCTGAAATGTTGTAAGGTTTCCTGCCTAGGCAGAGGGTTGGACTAGAAGACCTCCAAGGTCCCTTCCAACTCTGCTATTGCATTATTGTATCTTCTTAGGAAGAATCTCCCTTAAACAGTATATCTGGAGGAGAATTCTCGAAGTTCACAGATCTAGATCTAGAAGCAATTGCAGTTGGAGGAGGAGGTAACACACCTGTGTTTTTCTCAACCCTGGCAACTTGAAGAGATGTGGACTTCGATTCTCAAAATGCTGAAGTCCCCATGCTGTTTCATGCTACCCAGGTTGGGGAACACTGTCCTCTACCAATATTGCTAAATTGCTTTGGAGAGCAGAGATATGGGCCACAAATGAATGCTTTAGAGGTGATGGACAGAGGGAGAGATGGGGAGAGGAAGAGGAACAGGAGGAGAGAGAGAGAGAGAGAAAGGGAGAGGAACAGGAGGAGAGAGAGAGAGAAAGGGAGAGGGGGGACAGGAGGAGAGCGGCAGACAGACAGAGGAAGACATGGAGAGGGAGAGGAGGGGAGCGGGGGGAGAAGAAGAGAGGGAGAGGGGCAGGAAGAGAGACAGACAGAGAGGGAGAGGGGAGGGAGGGACAGGAGGAGAGAGAGGGGGGAGAGGAAGGGAGAGAGGAAGAGGGAGGTAGAAAGGAAGGAGAAATAGAGAGGAAGAGAGGAAAAGAGGGAGTGAAGGAGATGGGGATGGAGAGGGGAGATGGGGAGGGAGAAAAAGGGAAGAAGAGAGGAAGGGAGAGAGAGGAAGAGACGGAGAGGGGGAGAGGGAAAGAGGGAGCGGTGGAGGCAGGCAGAGAGAGGGGAAAGAAGAGGAAGGGAGAGGGGAAGAAGGAGGGATGGGGAGGAAAAGAGAGAGAGAGCAGGGGTGGCAGAGAGAGGGGGGAGGGAGAGAGGAAGAGAGGGAGGGACGGAGAGAGAGGGAGAGGAAGGGAGAGAGAGAACGGAAAGCACAAGCTACTTACGAAATAAACCGCTCCAAAACTTCCATGCCCGATTTCATGTAAACCCATGAACAGCTCCTGAGGATCATCTTTGTAGAAGAGGTCGGCGATATCCGGGTCCTTGGGTGCCCCCTTACGCATATTGGGAGAGAATCAGGACCTCGCCCACACTTGAAAATCCAAGGCGGTTTCTTCCTTCATTGACGGTGGGATTTTCGAGGGCTTCAGAGCCTTCCAGGCTGAAAAAACAACAACAACCCCTCCAAAGCGGTGAACCCAAGTTTTCTCTTTCTGGGCACGTTGAGATCTGCCGAACAAAACTCCGCATTGGCAACAGGGAAGGGCATCCGGCCAACAAACACTCAGCTCCATTCAGTCGCCCAGGCTCCACCCCACAAGGGACTATGGGGTCATTCAAAGATTATGATAGCGACCGCACGAAGCTACAACGGGACTTATGACCCTTTTTCACACTTATGACCATTTTTCACACTTATGACCATTGCAGCATCCCTGTAGTCACGGGATCAAAATCGGCAAGTTTGGCATACTGATGCCTATTTATGGTGGTGGCAGAATTCTTGGGGGTGGTGGTGTCACGCGATCCCCTTTTATGACCCTTCTGACAAGGGAAGTCAAGGGGGAAGCCAAGTTCACTTTACAACTGTGTGACTCACTTAACAAGTGCAGGGATTCGCCTTTCTCATTTTTATGTCGCTATCTCTCCCCTACAAGGTACCTCCGAGCGGCTTATGAAAGTAGTAAAAAAATGATTAAAATATCAAAACATGAATGGATGGTCAATTAGATAAGAGCCATGGAAGATTGTTTTTATATATGACTAGGGCTGATAACCCGGAGTTGCCCGGATATTTATTTATAGGGGGGAAATATCCGGACCAAAAGTAATTTAGAATGTTGGATTTTCCCCCTTACCAGAGGGAGCCCCCTTGTGGAGTACTGGGAAACCATCACCATGGCAACTCCACTGCGCTGTACAGTAGAAGCCATTTTATGGCAGTACAGTAGAAGCCATTTTAAGGCACAACAGGCTGTATCTTAACAGAATACACACCCCGACGGGTTTTAGGGGTGTCTTATCCCTGACAGTATTTGTTTCCAGAGTGTAAGTAATCTGTGTACCAAGTTTGGTTGAAATTGCTCAAGGCGTTCCAGTGTTATGCTGGAACACACACACACAAATACACACACACACAGCCATTTAAATATATATATAGAAGAAGATAGAAGAAGATTACGGTTCCGAGACTCGTATAAGGAAAGACTCTGAAATACTCACAATGGAAGAATGGTTGCTGAAGAAGTCAAAATTGGCAGGGATGACAAAAATTGACGATTACAGAAAGATCAACAATTTATCAGGGCCTAGAAACTTCTTTTGCTAGAGAGAGAGAGAGAGAGAGAGAGAGAGAGAGAGAGAGAGAGAAATGAACTTATAATTATTGGGTTTGAGGATTAGAAAGGGTAGAATATCTCAACTCTTCTCTATCAATAAAATTTTAAAGCCTAGTTATTCGGTCCTAACCGACAAAAGTCCATTGAGACTTACCAGCAATAACATCTATATTTTGAACTTAATCAAATAAGCTAACTTTGTATTCCTTTCCTTTCCTTTTAAGATCAAAGGTTATCAGATGGGATCGCTCCCCAATTAAATGTAATAGGTTCATTCAAACCGCTTTAAAAGACCCATTTACACGACATTATTTTTTTTTGGTCTCCTTTCAAATATTTGTCAGGTGGTCCTCGACGTACGACCACAACCGAGGCCAAAATGTTCGTGGCTAAGTGAGACAGTTAAGTGAGTTTTGCCCCATTTAACGACCTTTCTTGCCACCGCTGTAAAGCGAATTGTTGCAGTTCTTACGTTAGTTACCTGGGTTGTTAAAGTGAATCCGATTCCCACATTGATTTTGCTTGTCAGAAGGTCGCAAAAGGGGAATCACACAACCCAGCGACCGTCGTAAGTTCGAGTCATTGGCCAAACGTCCCAGTTTTGATCATGTCACCGTGGGGATGTTGCAACGGTCGTTAAGTGTGAAAAACGGTCACAAGTCTTTGTTTTCAGTGGCTTTGTAGCTTTCGAGCGGCCAGGAAGCGAACTTTTGCCAAGTCCACGTATTTGTTTTTATCTTGTTAAGCATTACCTCACCAAAATTATATTTTTAAGGAAAAAAATCCTCAAATGACCGTCAGACATCTGTGCTTCGCCTGGGGACGCAAGCTACAAGATGCCGGGATGCTGAAGGCCCAAGTTAAAAAATGAAGTGACATCATCCGTCCCAACGGGAGTGACTCATTTCGACAGATATGCATTTGAATGGGAGAAAACTGAGGGGGGGGGGGAAATCAGGATATTTTGGAAAACACGACAGAGGAAAGGAGAAGATGGCTGCTAAGACAGACAATTTGTGAGATCAGTCAAAGAGGGGGAAGTAGAATGTTTAACTCCTTAGCATCAGAGCGTGCGAATATCAGGCAACTGGTTGGAAGTTGGAACAGAGTTCTTTTCAGGTGGGGAGGGAGAGTAGAACTCCTTAGCATCGATGCTAAGTCTAACTCCTTAACGCCCAACTCCTAAGTCTAACTCAAAGTTAATGTTAATATAATACTGTATAAGAAATACTGATGATCTGATGGTCATTTCAAAAAATCCTTTCTTAGTGAGCGCCTAGAAGCCAAGAGGAACATACGGGCCAAATTTCAGATTTGTAGGCTTTATGGTTCTGGAGATTTCGTGATGAGTGAGTGGTATTTGGCTTTTATATATACAGATTGCATTTCTTTCATTTCATTTTTTTTAAAAGGAGAACAGAAGTTTGGAGATGTCCTCATATACGGAACATGCATTTCATTAGTCATGAGTTCATCTGGTTTTTAATTACCTCATTCTCCCACTGGAAACAGTCTGGTTTCTCTTGTTTCCAGGAAGGGGGAAAAAATCTCCTGAGAAGAACCTTACAATGAGGACTTCTTTAGGCATAGTTGACTTAACAACAGATTGTTTAGTGTCCGTTCGAAGTTAAAGCGGAACTGGGAAAAATATTTCCTATTTACAACTGTTGCAGTATAGAATAAGGAATAGGAGAGGACAGGACAGGAAAGGACAGAATAAGAATTAATAGAATTAGAATTGAATAGAAAAGAGAAGAGATAAATAGAATAGACTAATAGAAGAATAGAATAGAATAAGGAATAGAATAGAACAGGGGAGGGGAGGGGAGGGAAGAGGAGAGAAGAGAAATAGAATGTAATGGAATAGGACAGAACAGAACAGAATAGAATAAGAATTAATAGAATTAGGATTGAATAGAAAAGAGAAGAGATAAATAGAATAGACTAATATAATAGAAGAATAGAATATAATAGAATAAGGAATAGAATAGAATAGAACAGGGGACGGGAGGGGAGGGAAGAGGAGAGGAGAAATTGAATGTAATGGAATAGAATAGGACAGAACAGAACAGAACAGAATAGAATAAGAATTAATAGAATTAGAATTTAATAGAATAGAGAAGAAAGAAAGGGATGGAATGGAATGGAATAGGATAGAATAGGACAGGACAGAATAAGAATTAATAGAATTAGAATTGAATAGAAAAGAGAAGAGATAAATAGAATAGACTAATATAATAGAAGAATAGAATAAGGAATAGAATAGAATAGAACAGGGGAGGGGAGTGAAGAGGAGAGGAGAAATAGAATGTAATGGAATAGAATAGGACAGAACAGAACAGAATAGAATAAGAATTAATAGAATTAGAATTTAATAGAATAGAGAAGAAAGAAAGGAATGGAATAGGATAGAATAGGACAGGACAGAATAAGAATTAAAAGAATTAGAATTTAATAGAAGAAAGAAGAGAAGAAAGAATGGAATAGAATAGAATAAGGAAAGAAGGAAGGAGAATAGAATGGAATGGATCTTTATTGTTACTTTAAATATACATTAATCAGCATACATTAAAATGGTCCTCACACTTATGACCGTTGCAGGATTCCCCATGGTCACATGGTTAAAATTCAGATGTTTGGCACCTGACTCTTATTTATGACGGCTGCAGTGTCCCGGGGTCATGTGATCCCCTTTTAGCGACCCTCTGACAAGCCACGTCAATGGGGAAGCCAGATTCAACCTTAACAAACCGTCTTACTAACTAAACAGCTGCAGTGACCCGCTTAACAATGGTGGCAAGGAAGCTTGTAAAATGGGCCCAAAACTCACTGAACACCTGTCTCATTTAGCAACAGAAATTAGCTCGGCTCCATCGTGCTCCTAAATCGGGAACTGCCTGTATCCCAAATGTGGTTAAGAAGCGAACTCCAGAAGGGATTAAGAAAGGATGTGGATGAAGCTCGTGTTTGTCTTGAAGGCTCGGGTAGCGACAGAAATCTGGGGCTCCCTTGTGGCCATAAGTCGAGGACTCCCTGGAAGAGCAGCAAGATCCATGCTCACATTCTTCACCTACCTGGGACAACTATGGCATTAACCGCGGTCTACGGCTCAAACGCATTTCGGCAAAAGGTCAGGATTTCTCTTCCGTAGTTTCGGTTGGCTCTCTGTACGCTGATTTTTCTGACCTGCAAGAGAAGGAGAAAGCAGCCAGAATTAAAATAAGAAATACACGGTACAACGTCTTTTAGATTTGATTTGATTTGATTTATTTATTGAGCCGAGGTGGCGCAGTGGTTAAATGCAGCACTGCAGGCTACTTCAGCTGATTGCAGTTCTGCAGTTCGGCTGTTCAAATCTCACCGGCTCAGGGTTGACTCAGCCTTCTATCCTTTCGAGGTGGGTAAAATGTTGGGGGCAATATGCTGACTCTGTAAACCGCTTAGAGAGGGCTGAAAGCCCTATGAAGCGGTATATAAGTCTAACTGCTATTGCTATTGCATTTCTATGCCACCCTATTCCCAGAGGGACTCAGGGAGGCTCACAAACCAAAGTAAGGGGGGGGGGATACAAACAGGAGGGGGGAAAAAACAACAACAACGGACGAACAACTACAACAATTT